GCTCAGCATATAGATTGAATAAGTGTGGAGAAAGAATACAACCCTGATGCACTCCCTTCTTGATTTTAAACCATGTAGTGTCCCCTTGTTCTGTACATATATTAGTAAAGTACAATCTAAAGTGTAACAGTAACCTGGTTGAACTGTTTTCATCTGTGTTTCATTGGCATTAGCTATCATTTGTCATTTTTTTCTTAATCAGTGTTTAGATGAGGGTTAAATAGATACACTTGTGAAAGCACCAGCTAGTGCTTGCCATGAAGTAAAGGTGCAGTGAACTGAGTGCCGATACCTAGTTCTGATGCCTGCTTTGAGTCGGCAGCGTGACACATCTGCAGATGAGGCTCATAGCAGGCCAAGTTAGAGACTAATGAGAACTGCCAGCAGGGGGCTCTGGAAACCAGTTCAGTAATAATTGCTTTCTCCCTTTTCGGCTACTGCTTTCACTTTATGCAGAACAAGTTCACCTTGTGTCTTAGACCCTAAGAACTAAGAAATATAAAATCAATATATTCTTTGTACTGACAAGTAGTATATTGTATAGAGAAAAATGACCTTTTAGTTTATAAAATAAGCAAGGTATATGAGCTGATGAAAACTTGTTACTGTAATTTCTTACAAATATTGAGATTTTCTTTCTATTTTCAGAGGCAGAAGAAAATTCGAGATGATCATAAATCCTTCTATGCTATTAATACTGTTTATGTATATGGACAAGAGAAATACTTGTTGGTAAGACATTTGTTTTCTGACATACAAAGATTATTAATTATTTTTAAATGTGCATTTTAAAATGACTGTTTGGAACCGTTAAGGAGCTCTGGTGGTGTAGTTGGTAAGGCACTGGTTGCTAACCAGAAGGTCAGCTATTTAAACCCACCAGCTGCTCCACAGAAGGAAGATGGGGCAGTCTGCTTGTGAAGATTTACAACCTCAGAAACTCCATGGGGGTCACTGTGAGTTGGAATCAACTCAATGGCAGTGAAGTTTGGGCTTTGGAAATGTTACTGGGTTTAATTTAATGACTATATGTTGAACTTCCGTGTAATTTTTCACCTGGTTTATTTATTGGAATTCTAATGTCTTCAACTATGTGGTTATTGGAGCTCTGGTAGCATAGTGGCTAAGGCACTTGACTGCTAACCAGAAGGCTGG